GGGGTGAGGGGCAACCAGAAGAGGAGTAGGCCAAGAAGAAAAGGGGGAATGCAGCTGGCCCGGGCAAGCATTATGCGACGTCACCTGCGAGAGGGGGCGCCTACAGACCCCTATTCATTTGCCTAATTTTGGTCAATTTAACAAACTTCAGGAGAAATTATTGTGGCTTTGTCAGGGAGGGTGAAGCCTTCTGATCGAATTAACAGCATGTTTTGATCCGGTAAATGTCATTAGAAAGGGAGAAACAATCGCGCTTAGAGGGCTCTGAGTAATGCGCCCAAGTGGAGACGCCAAAGCGCACGGCTCACAAAGGGAGCTAGTAGCTGCCACAGGGAACTTTTGTACCCGCCCATCGCCCAAGTTTTGACACAAAAAGGCATTATTTCATACTTGAATACGTTTAATCCAACGATTGTCTATTTTCTGCAAACATATTTTCACAGCATTGTTAACTTTTTATGTCCCCCTTTCGCGGGCGCCTTTTCTTAACGTTTGGGGGCGGGAGAGCGCAGACACTTTGGGCATCAATATTTGTCACAGAAAAGGGCCCCGTGAAGTTTGGGAAGTTGATCTCTTTTTTATGGTTTTAGAGAGTGAAAATATCGGGGGAGGAGGAGGGAGGGAAGGCAAGAACAGAAACCAGGGGGAAATTTTCTGGGCGGGCCCAAGAGGAAGGAGGGGGGTGACGGCGGCGGCCGGGAACTCGGCTGCCTGCGCCTCTGCGGGCAGCTTGGCCCGGCGGCCAGGGCCTCCTCCCCAGGGCAAGACTCGATCGCTCACTTTTGATGCCTCAGACCTCGCTGCTCTGGGGACTCTGGGCTTGCAGGGTGTGTATGGGGGAGAGCTTTCTTGCAGATGGAAACGATAAAAATTGGTTTTTGTTTTATGACGCTCTCTAGAGCTCCGAGTCTTTTTCTAATTTGTTCCATCTGGGAACAACCGAGGATTCTCCTTATGTATCTTTCCCTCCTTTTCTACCCTCCACTTTGCCTACATTTTCTTAACCCTGCTGGACAATGGAAGGGCCTGGGGTCTCCCTTTGGGTGTTGTTAATCCTCGGCAGAGGTAGCTTCTGTGGAATCCTGTTCGCTGGCGGGGTGGAACTCCCAGGGCGCAGAGCCTGGCCGCGGGTGCCGAGCCTCGGGGCGGCGAGCGGCCCACCTGCCGCCGCCAGGGAGATGTGGGAGCCGCCCCTTGCCCCGCACCCCTTGGCTGTCCCTCTGGGTTTTGCTTCCAGTCTCACCACCAGGATTCTTTTCTACTTCACGCCAGTTTGGAAAAGACCTGCATCCTCCCGCAGGTTCCTCTGCCAGCCACGGGTGCCCTCTCAGGGGTTGTCTATTTCAGTATATTCACACGCACACAATGGGATTAAGCACAAACCCTTATCATCCAAATTAACTAATGTGAATGGGTAAGGGAGCGCGCACACTTATCACCCTACCCCTTTTTAAAGCCAGCGGACTGGGAGTTGATCCTCTTACTGCCGGTGTTAACCGCCAGCTGCAATCACCTTCCACGAGCCAAATATTATGCTTTGCAAACTATTTATTTTCCTGGGTTTGCTCGCGGAACTGGACTCAAGGTTTTACCCTGGGCCGGAAGACCCAGCGTGAGGTTAATCTGGGAGAAGGGACCCAACAATGGTAGGTAGGTGGGTGGAGAGACGTGCGTCCTAGCCTTGCCCACAGCCGGCTGCAGCCTTACCAGAGAGGCAAGGCAACGCCTCTTCTCTTGCAAGTTAGGGAAAGGCTGTGTTTTTAATTTCTTCTTTCCCAGCCTTGATAACAGTGCCGGAAAATGAGATCCTGGGACCCTGACAGTCGTCTTCCCTTAGTCCTTTTCCCCAGGATGATGATAAACTGTTCGCATTCCATCCAAAATGAGAACAGACTAGTGAAGCGCAGTGTACACCGGAGCTAAACAACAGATTCGAATTCCAGCTCCATGTCCTACTAGAGAGATTGGTCAGTTTACTGAATCTCACTGTGCCTCAGTTTCCTCTTTTGTGAAATGTATTTAATAATTGTATATACTATAATACAGAAGGAGAGCTCTGGCGGTGTAGTGCTTAAGACATTTGACTGCTAACCAGAAGGCTGGTGGTTCAAACCCACCAGCCACTCCTCGGAAGGAAGTTTGGGCAATCTACTTTCCTAGTGATACATACACTGCCTCGGAAACCCAGGGAGGGGTCGCTATGAGTAGGATCTAACTCAAGGGCAGTGACTTTTTTTTTTTTTTTTTTTAATTATTACAGAGTAATCATTTGGATGAAACAAGTAAATATAGGTAAAGTACCTAGAAGAAGGCTGAACCACTCAATTAGTGATTTTAGTTTGTCTGGAAATCTCCTTTTCAGTGACTCTCACAGGTTTTAGGAGTGTTTTCGCACTGTGATAGTTTCATTCATTTCATATGTGTTTTTCATCTCTGAGAAAGTTTTACCTTTCTTGAAAAAGCCACATTAATTTCTCCTGAAGTTTGAGAAATTGATCAAAATTAGGCAAATAAGTCTTTTGGTGCCCTCTCTCACAGATGACATGTGTTGGTGCTGTCTACCTAGCTGTGCTCTCCCTGCGTGAAGCTGCAAAAGGCTGTAAGTGCAGAAGCCCCTCATTATAGCCAAACATTCACATCAAAATCAAAGCTATGACATAAGACTACTTAGAAATTAAAAAACCCAAACCAAACCCACTGCCATAGAGTAGAGTCTGACTCACAGTGACCACCATTGGGTTTCCAAGGCTGTAAATCTTTGTAGAAGTAGATTGCCTCATCTTCCTCCTGAGAAACAGCTGCTGGGTTTGAATCACTGACCTCCTGGTTAGCATCCCAATGCTTTACCCACTGCACCACCAGAGCACCTACTTAATTTTTTTTTTTTTTAACTTCACTGCCATTGGTTGATTCTGACTTATAGTGACCTCCATTGGGTTTCCAAGGAAGTAAATGTTTATGGAAATAGGTTGCATTTTCTTCCTTCTGCAGAACGGCTAGTGGGTTTGAACCGTCAACCTTCTGGTTAGCAGACAAATGCCTTGGCATTGCACCTCTTAGAAATTAGTGCTAATATGGGGAGCTCTGGTAGCATAGTGCTTAAGGAACTTGACTGCTAACCAGAAGGCTGGTGGTTCAAACCCACAAGCCACTCCTCAGAAGGAACCTTGGGCAATCTACTTCCATAGTGATACCGCCTCTGAAACCCAAGGAGGGGTCACAATGAGTAGGGTCTGACTCCACAGCACATAACAACAACAACAACAACAATTAAATATTAGTCTGTGCTTAGCATGCTAAAGACTGCTCTTGGAAAAAATAGCAACCACAAGCAGAGTTTGTTTATAATTGTTGCTGTTGTTGTTGTTATGTGCTGTTGAGTCAGACCTGACTCATAGCGACCTCTCCTTGGGTTTCCGAGGTGGTATCACTAGGGAAGTAGATTGCCCAAGCTTCCTTCTGAGGAGTGAGTAGTTCTGAGGTATAAGGAAGACAAGACACAAAGGCACCTAGGTTCAATTTCTGGAGTAGCATCACAAAATGTAGGTTGATAGGATGTTTCCTCTGAAAGGAGCCTAAGAGAGTAGGACTCCAATACTCACTTATAAGATTGAGGACTCTGAGGAGCCATGGGGAGACAAGGATGCCCAACAGATCATGGTGAGCTGCTGTTACAAAGTAATTCACTTATTATTTGTTGATTTGTTGTCTGACCTTGAGGGCTTAATGCCTCAAGTTACTCCTCTTACTGTGAAGGAGAGTTGAGTTTGGGGACCCTATGGTTTAGGACTGGCAACTATTCAGCCACTTTCTTTCCCTTTGACTTGTGTGAGCATCATCAGGAGGCTGCATCCTTGAGCCTCCCGGTTCCTACTTCTCAGGAGTCTGTGTGATAACAGCATGTGGTGAGCACCAACTGTGTGCCAAAGGGTGAGAATGAAAGGGAATACAAGACAGGATGTGGTCCTGCCTTCCATGGGCTTGTAGCCTAACAACAAGAAGATATATGTATTAATAGTCCCCATAACAA